AGAAGATGGCACTCTGCTTATCCAGGTACAGGATACGTTGATTGCCAATAAGCATGCAGGCGGCTGGCGCTCTGTTGATCGGATCGCAGTATTATTGGGTTTGCAATAGCGAGTAGACTATTATATACTATATTGTCATATAGAAATCAAGCGGTCATAGCTTACAGATTCCTCCAACAATTTGCCCCTTAACACTTCATCGATAAATTTTGTCAAATAAATTTTTTTATACTGAGGTGAGAGCAGAAATATTGTGATTGCTACTGGCCAAAGGAAACCACTTAGGCGTCACCATGCGGACAACATTTGACCTTGCATGAAGTAAGTAAATTCAAGAGTTTCCATGTGCTTCGTATAAACCCTTCAATAACTGTTTTCGGAAATGTTCAGGCTATCCTTGCAGTGCTTTGTACAGTAGGGGCAGAAACAAATTAAAAATCCCATCGAGGAGGTCAATACGTCAGTAAGCAGTCAACTCTACAGATTTGGTTTCAGTTAGCGGCCAGAAAAATATGGAGGGTTATCAAGCAGATCTCACCCTTCATTGAGTCGACCCTGAGTGGCTAATTTCACTCTAGATCTATCTACAGCCGCAATATGCCATGAAGTTTCCTAAACATTTCCTCCGTCCCCTTTCTATCATCTTCATATTGATTCCATCGCATCAGCGACCTATTAGTTGTAGTTGCCTCCCGTGGCACATCATCCAATCTAAATTGATTTATTGAGCTGCTTCTGCTAGCGGAATCTCAACGAAATCAACGATTAATTATTGAATACCTACATCCGAGTCGCTTCCTGGCGCTTATGTTGACAGAGAAATGCGATGAAGTTTCTCCACGCATATCACATCGTTCCTGAGTCGATTAGTTTGACACAAGTTTAGGTGCCGTTCAATACTTGGAAGGATCGAATAGTCATTTGCATTAGGATTTAGACTGTGTTTTTCAGTTGAATATAACGCAGCTGCTATATAAGGTGTCATGAAAGTTGTGACTTTTCTAGTCAGAAACAACTGAGTTTGAAGTAACAAAACTATTGTGCGGTAAGACTGTCATCCTCCTCCTGAACATATGAAGCTGTCTAGATCTTATACTGCACCCTGCTCGATCGAGTTTACACGATGTAAATAAACCTACCCAACTCGGGACGGAAACATCAAGGAAAGCGATCTGAATAAATTCAACTGTAGTGAACTAATCACTCAAATATTTGCACGACAATTGAAGAGTAGCATGAGTGGGGAGGGTTTGGTAAATGTGTATTTTGCACTTTTTCATTCACATCTCACTTACGATCTTACTTTATGAGGTAGTTCCTGTAACGATGGATGGGTGTTCAAATTGCAGAAGAGGGTGGTCAGAATTTTTACCTTTTCGAAGTACAATGAAAACTGTAAGCCTTTGATCAGAAATTTAAGGATAATGTCATTGACCTTAATTTTATACGTTACTACATATCCTTCCGAATGTTGGAAACTATAATACCCATTCCGACTCTTCTAACTAACGAATTAGAGATGCTGTTTCTGCTTGAAATCCCTTGAACCCGAATCGCTATAATAAATTAAATGCAGAGATATGTGCAATGACCAATTTCAGATTCAAAGAAGCTATCAAAAGCATACTGCTCAGCGAGTTTTTCTATAGTACTGGTGAGTTTTTAAATTATGTTTTCAACTTATAGTTTGTGTTTCATCATGTGCCTTTTTTTCATTCACTGATGTTCTATTAGTGTATGTTTGTCTATGCCTAGATCTTTTATATAAATTGCTGAATGCGTTCTAAGCCAGTTCCTTTTATTGTGTCCAATTATTAAAAGGAAAAACGCCGAGACACGACAGAAGATTTGTTAAGGGAGATAACTTTCAACCAAAAACTACTTCACCCCCTTTCACCCTCTGCCCCCAGCGTCATTCCCTTGAAAATTTTAAATGACAAAGGGTATCGAGTAATAGCTTGTTTGGAAGGTCTTTAGAAGTAATTTATTTTGATTTTTGAAGATCGGGCGAATCGGTTTTTAAGAAAATAAGAAAAATCTTTATTTATCTTAATTTTTTCAGATAGGAAACAAAAATACACGAAAATATCACTTTCAAGATGTTGCCCGTTATTGGCCAAACAGTGATTGATATATTCGATGTTCAACTTCCTGACGGACATTTTCATTAACATGTTGTTGTCATGGCAGCTTTCGATGATGCGCTGACGAAGTTCATCCAAACTTTCAGGCTGGGGAGTATACACAATAGATTTTAAATGGCCCCATAGAAAAAAAACTAATGACGTCAAATCAGGATATCTAGCAGGCCATTCTATGGGTTGCCTTCGCCCTATACATTTAACTGGAAACTCGTCGTCTAAGCATTGCCGAACCGGAAGAACATAGTGAGGAGGAGCGCTATCTTGCTGGAAATATATTTCAGCCTCATCAAGCATAGGATTTCCATCCTCTTCGATTTGGTTTTCAATGGTTTTAGTGATAAGCGGATTGATGGTATTTTCCAACATATCCAAATAAATTCAATCACTTTGTTTCCTAAAATGCCTGCCCATACATTAATTTTTTGGAGGTACTGGATATGCCCTTCTACAAAAGCATAAGGATTCTCATTGCCCCAATACCTGCAGTTATGCTTATTAACAAATTTATTTGGATAAAATGTACATTCATCGCTGAAGCAGATATTCTTTACACGAATGGTATTATCCTTAATCGCTGCAGTCATTTGTTCGTAAAACTTAACTTGCCTATCGAAATCATCTTCGGTTAACTCTTGCAATATTTTCATTTTAAATGGATGAAATTTATGGAGGTTAGTAACTGTGTGTAAAGAGCCTAATGAAATGCCAGGGTCAGCAACAATTTTGCGTAATGAAGTATTATGATTTATTCTAAAATGATCCAAAACTTCAACTTGAATGCCTCCATCCAAAACTCTCCGATCATCACGTTTTTTATTTGCAACAGATCCAGTTTGAGTAAATTTAGTAACAAGGTCCAAAACATATCTATGCAAAGTTATCTTCCCCGGATGTCTGGTGTTAAACGTGACTTCAGTTTGTAGATCACATTGATTTTGGGCACCATCAATTAGAATCATTTCTACTCTTCCAGCCTATGTGTAAGCCATTTTGGAAGTAAAATCTGAATCAATAAATTAATTTTCACTATCCCAAGATTGTCACCAAGGTAAATGACAGCAAATTAAATTCTTTCTTTCTGGCAGCAACAAATCACTAAACAGGTATAACAATAAATACAGTTTACCCAGGATCTCTGTGTTGATGAAAAGAATGCGGAATTAAATTCGGGTTGTTATTTGGTTGTCGCCACGTCTAATCTTCCAAATTGCTGTTTATGTTGGTAGTTTTGGTTTTAAATTATAAACGAACTGCAGATTTGGCAAACCCTAACGGGCAACAAATTGAACACTTATTGAAATAGAAAGTATTCTATCTGAAAATTAAGATAAATAAATATTTTTCTCAAAAACGAATCGACTGATTTAAAAAAATTAAACGTCAAAATAAAGGACTTTGAAAGACCTTCCAAACGAGCTCTTACTCGATACCCCTTGAGAGTGAAAGGGGGTGAAGTAGTTTTTGGTTAAAAAGTTGTCCCTCATGACAAATCCTTTGACGTGTCTCGGCGCTTTTCTTTTAATCAGTGGTTTTCGATAAATCCGTGGTGAGAGGTTTACAAATGAACCCCCTTCGTTATTGCTATGGAAATGTGCCAATTTTGTTTATTTCACATCCGATTTGTAAATAAACTTTTCTAGCCTATACACCGTGTGGCGCGTGATTTGAACATTTACACGTTGGTTGCAGACTTCATTGTGTATCTCAGGGATTTGGTGTACATGTTACTAAGTAACAAAAAAGTTACTGTTGTATGACCTATACGCTCTATAAAGGAAAGTCCCAACGCTGTACATTATTTTCATTTTGATAAAATTTGTATCAAATAACCTTCATCCGCAGGAGTATTATGTAAAAAAAAAACATAAAAACGTCAAATAACCGAAGAAATGTCATCTTGCAGACTAGTTAGTTTTTAGTGTGCAAATAGTTCATTCCACGTCTGCTCGCTCTGAACGCTGTTCACTGGCGTTTAATCAACACGTACAGCTACAAAAAGAGTTCACAACAAGGGCACAACAGCTTGTACTAAGTTAACATCTTGTAGAAAAACCTACGTTATGTCTCAAAACAAACTACAAAATGTCAAAAAAGAAACGACAAAATGTCACTTTTCAAGACACGTAATACTGATATTCTTGAGAAATACCTCCAACAGAAACCTCAAATGCTTCACAGAACATACACCTCAAACTGTAGTTCCCTTTGCGTCCAATGCTGCAGAAGAGATCTTACAGCTCGCAGCCTTTGATCTACAAATTACCAAAATTGACAGCCAAGTGAAGATTGCTATCAGACTGACGTTGTATCATTAGTTGAAATAAGTGTACTCAGTTCTCAGTCGCTCTGTATACTAGACAACGGAATCAATGTCCCCAGAACACTTTATGGACTTTGTGAAACTAAGCGTTCAAAACTTCAAGACCGTTAATGAAAAATATATATCCGAATGCGGATACTCCATTACCGAGAATTTTCTTCGCATAAAATGCAAAACGAAAAATAAATCTACTTAAAACGATCGGAAACGGCAGCAGTCCTAGTTTTGAAAGTCCGAACCGAACCGATTCTGCGAATATTAACGATAAGGGTATAAATGATTTAGGGATATCGATTCCATTAAAAAGCGTCCAGTGAAACTCACTGAGTAAAATGGAAGTAATGAGTTTGAATAATTGATTCTCGCTCGCTTTTTGTTGATTCCATTGTTTATTCATTGAGGAGGGACTGTCAGCGATAATGTCAAAACAACTGGTAATTCTGAATAATTAAGAACGGGTCTGTAGACTTTCGTGTCTAGAAACTCGTATAAATAACCAGTCTGTTTGAATGAGAAAACCACGTCTCTACTAGTAGATCAACTATTGAAGAAAACGATTGTCTGTCTGATGTACCTGATCCGTTTGAGGACTCTGGGTCTAGCTACTGCCCAGATTCAGAAGACTCTTCAGAGGGTGCAAGAAACAAAAGAAAAAAAGAATACATACACCAAGTGAATAAGCGCCTTCGAAGAGAAGCCATCCCAGACGATATTGCAGACGAGAACAAAAGAGCGAAAAAATTTCAACAAGAAAAAAACGAACGAAAAAGGAATAAAAGAAAATTGCTTCGTATGCTCGGGAAGGAATATGAAGGCAAGAAAAGATTGGCGGAGAATGGAGCATCTGGTAAAAGGGAGCTAGAAAAATAGTTAAAAAAATGCAATAATTCTAGAAACAAGAGATAGTTCCGGAACATAACTGATGATCTTTACACAATTGCCGTAGTTTTCCCGCAACCTGGTCCAAACGTGGAAACCAGAAGGTCTTCATTCTATTGATGTAGGTTGGGGATAATATGCGACAACCCATCAATTCGGTAGCAAAGCATTCACCACAGAATAAAACTACCAGTTGTTCTTGATGATTAGCATGCGGGATCTTCTAGGATGACCAAAAACTAGAGACTTCTTCTTGGTTTCGAATGTACAGTTTAGCTTCTGTAAAGAAATATTGTTCTTCTTATTACTACTGCTCATAATGTTTTTATTTGCAGGCCAACTCTAACCCAACCGTTGGACTTTGTGCCATTCAGTTTTAAGCTGAGCGCACTGTCGCGGCGCCTTGCGTATTTATTCCGTTCAAAGTAATCGAGATCGTTCTCAAATAGATCGCTCACCGCAGTGTTGCCGCTGCTTGGTTAATTATGAGAATTTACAAAATTTACGGAAGCTTCTATGACTTTTACATCTTTTTATAATGTTGTGAGCCACCAGAATTGCCTTTGCACGCGACCGACGGGTTGGTGACCACTGGCCTAGGAAGTGGAGCTCGTGTCTCTCTACCAGCACATGAGGTAGATAGAATCTCTCTTCATCTTCAGAGTGTCCAGTCTACAGTGGCCGGTGAGAAGCCTTGAATGAATGAATCTCAAAATTAGAGGCATCCAGGCCACCATGAGGGGGCAGTGCATAGGCCGCTTAAGCGGGCCCTTATGCACCTCTACAATCCTTAAATCACAAGCCTCGCCCTTTTAGCGAAGTTGAGAATCTCCTTGACTCCAAGCTCCTCGACGCCCTGAGGGTCCAAAGTAATGGACCCCATTATAGTCTGCCTTTAGTAGCTCAGAGCTTCACAGCGACACAAAACGTGCGACGAAGTCTCTTCCTCTACTCCGCAGTGTTCGCACAAGGGATCCTCAGCCACCCCCATCACGTGCAGGTGACGCCTTAACGTGTTATGGCCAGACAACAGTCCCACCAGCAACCTTAGGTTGGCTCTATCCAGAGATAGGCAGAAGCGTCCATCCTTAGTACTGGGCCCTTCAATGAGCTCTCGTGCCTAGCGGAGATGTCTAGAGATACTTCTCCATTTCTGAAAGTGTTGTCTTGCAACCCACGACTCCATTTTCCTCCTAGCTTTATGCGCGGTCACTCCTAGAGCTGGCTCAGGACCAACGAGCTTGCTGGCTGATCCTGTTTTCGCCAGAGTGTCCGCCGTCTCATTGCCCCTTATCCCAGCGTGACCCGGTACCCATATTAACTATACCGGATGCCTCGCTGCGAGGCAATCCAGAGCCTCCCTGCATTGCAATACAAGACTCGAAGTAATCTTAGGGCACTTAGTGCTTTCATTGCAGCCTGGCTGTCGGATAAGATTGTTATTCTTCTCCTAGGCCCACCCTCCTCCAGAATGTGAGACACACAAGCCAGAATCGCAAAGATTTCCGCCTGGAAAATGTGAGAAGCCTTACCAAGAGATTGAGCGACTACCTACCTATATACAGCGTGTCCGACGAACTTATTAGCCTGCCAGCAGTTATCTTTCTCTTCAAAAATTTTTTCAACAGGCACTACCAAATATCAAATAGCAGTCTAGTACCTACTGTTGTTTAACGTATTGTCAAGGAAGATGGAACAAAACATTGTGTTTCAATAGTTTCATCATCAACAGATTTTCAATTTGAAATTTCTTCTTGGGAATCACTTGCATTTTATATGCGTTCCGAAGAACAACATCGATTCAAACCACATCACGTAGCTGCATCACAAGTCAGTTTTTCTTGCCCTATAAATATCCTGGGCATCTTCCCGGTGCCGGTTTCTAGTTCGCATATTGAGAGCAGGGCAATAATTCGGGGAACGAGATACATCCTAACAGTGTATATACTCGTATATCCTGCCGACGTAACGGGTACCTTCTTTCGCGATTGTTGCGAAATGATAAACATCGTAGAGCGAAAAGAGGCTCTATCGTTGAGCCTGAGTAATGGCAAATAGCTTTATCGATTCTTCTACCATCCCGACTCTGTACATCCACGAAAAACTCTATGAAAGCGTACAGTGTGAAATTGATGCTTTTTAGGTGAATCTGCCTAGATACGGATACAGATAGTCTGCTATGCTAGCTCCCGAATAGGCTGATGAGTTTTTTCAGTGAAGTATGTCTGTCAGCTCAGTGTTTTTTGTATTGCAATTGCGACGAATTTCGAAATTGTGACGTTTTTGATGTTGCAAGATTTACAGGGTGTTTCAGAACTAAGGGATCAGATTTCTAGGGGTTATTTAGTGTAACAGTAGAAAACATTTGAGTATAGGGACCCATATCCGGAAAAGTGTCACTACGACACTCCGGTCATAACTTGACTTGACTTGACTTGACTAAAAATTTGATACTCGTTTTGAATGATTTCAAATGCTGCTGTAATTCTTCCAATTAAGTCTTGCTCTGTTTCTATTGGAGTTTCGTGAACCAAAGACTTTACATGTCCCCACAGGAATCGTGTATTCAGGTTGGAGGAAGACATTTTGAACAATTGTTGTGATGATATCATGTACAAAAGGCAAAAATTAAATGCATTAAATCTTATTTAGGCAATTCATCGTCCTTCTAAATTTTAACGCGTCTTAGGGCCGTAGTGCCGTAGTTACACTTTCCCGGATATGGGTCTCTATTCTCAACTGTTTTCTACTGTTACACTGAATAACCCCTACGATTTGATCCCATAGTTCTGAAACATCCTGTATACATCACAAAAAACTGTGCCACTGATTTCGGTCGGTCTGTTTTTTACTCCTTGACTCCTCCCAACTTTGATGAAACTTTAGCAGAAAGTTTCATCTATGCCAAGACCGAAAACACTTCGTAGGTTTCGAAATTAGATCAACTGCTGCCCAAGCTTCGTTATTGACGTTAGATTATGGAGCATCTATAGAAGCAATATTTTTGTGGCAATATTTGGCTATAATTATAGCAGATGTAGTCCAGTCTTCATTATCATATTGCAGCATATAACTCCGCTGTACCTCGGATATATCTTGGCAGTATAGACACTTACAATTTTCATAATTTCTCCCCAGAAGAGGTACAAAATCAGGCAAGTGTGACTGGACTGTACCCTTCACAGCAGATTACTTACATTTCAATACATTAAGGGCCAACTTCACCAACAACAGTCCGTTATTCTCCACCTATAGGGTAACAGACAGTGAGATACAGCGAATGAGCTTCAAGTTCCAATCAACAAATTTTAGCAACCAATAGCTATGAAATGTTGAAAACCAAATACTGTCAAAGTATGAGATGACAACTTGTCATTGAAACATCACCAGCTTACTGAATATTAAGAAATTACATATAATTCAGTCAACATTTTAAGAAATGTTTGATTTTTGAATTAAATTCATGTTTTAATTACTATTGTTGATTTTTTATTCATGTTTATATTATTTTCTTCAATTGATATGTGATACTGGGTGTTTTTTCCTATAAACCTCTTGCAGATAGCCATTAAGCACCTACTTGATGACAGGCTCTACCAAAAGATTTTGCTCGTTTCCAAACATTCATTCATTTACTGGCCGTTCATCAGAACCATTATGGCACCTTAGATTGATATTCCCACAAAACTATTCAGGTTTTTTTATATCCATACATCTATAAAGTTGAATATTTTTCGTTGTTCAGGAACTGAACAAACATCCACACTATATTCACAGCGATTAAGAAATTCCCAAATATATGCCTTAAAGCTATCAGCAAACCTAAAACCTGCAAAAAAAAACAAAAAATTTGTTATATTTTTCTTTTTTCACGAGTACACATTCTAGGTTATATTTGACATTATTTGAATACAGCTGATTATTGCATTTCATGGAGTGACACATGTGTGGGGTCTGTCAACTCCATGCTATTCAATGACAACACGGTGACTTGTGTGGTTATCAGCGGCCATTTTGTGAGGGTGCGACAGGGTTGCCAGATTGTGCATTAATATCCCGTTTCAGCCTCCTGGTCCCAGTGGAGTGAGTTCCGCCAACTGTTGAAATATACTCTACTATGCTTTATAAGACTATTCGTGACATTTTTCCCATAATCATTGCACACCACTTAAAAAATGCAAATGAAAATTTATAATTATTTCCATGACGCCGCAATATAGCTCCGTCGGTACCTTGGGTTATACATCTTGACAATAGGGATGTTCGATACGATCCTATATTTAGAAGTATCAATACATTTCACGAGTACCGTGATCTTTCGATCCGGACTGTGTCAGAAAGAGTGACTGCCATTTGGCTGCGACATTACCCTGTCAAATCAGACATATCTTTCATCATTTTCAAAGAAATTGTACAAAATTTTAAAATTTGTGAAGTTAGCGAGTTTCACTTCATACGTTGTTACCAGACATGCCCAAATCATTAGTTGCTGCCGTGATATTCATCCCAACCACTGCATCCCCATGGCTATTCGACCTGTATGTTAAATTTGTATTGATAGGGCAGCGGGTTATGCTATAAATCATATGTCTCAGTGTTTGTGCACTGATTGCAACGGTTAGATGATACCAAAAATATTTTCATAAATAGGAGATCTTTCCCATTCCGGATCGAACAATCTATCAAAGATGCTTATAATCATGATACCTAGTAAATTTTCACGAAAAAAATTCAAAACCCGCAACTGTAAAAGATTCATTTCGCACCCTCCACCACGGGACGTGATCGTCGTTAGACTTGGCAACCCTGCGAGTGTCAGACAGATATCCCCGCCAGTCAAAAAAGAAAAATAGACAAACAATAAACATTACTAGTTTTTTTGATTTTTGGACTTAAAAGCCATTATCTGTGAAACATTTTTCATAATTTTTTGTCTATGTCCATAGTAATTGCATTAGGTATGCATCA